AAAAAAAAAAATGATATTTTGAAATTAAAAACATAGGTACATACAGTAAATTAATATTTAATTAAGTAAGTAATTAAGATAAGTTTCATATTTTCTCATTTTTTTGTTAAATGTAAAACCGACTGTGCCTAYCTATGGGTTTTTATTGAGKTAATGAGGTTTATATTGTATTTAAGTTATTTTTTGGCGAAATATGCATTTATTCATAAAAATCCCTAAATATGCAAAAATATGCAAAAATATGCAAAAATATGCAAAATAAAATTGAATGTATCTGATTCTATTTGAGTCGCACCAAAAACAAATTTATAACTTGGTCTGCAATGTGCACGACTAAAAGAAAAAATATTTCAAAAGTCATAAACATCCTAACTCTAGACTTATAACTATAAAGTAGAAAAAAAAACAAAATAATTTTAGTTTCACTTAAATTAGTCGAAAATATTGTTTAACAAACTGGTATATTTTGTGAAAACAAATTGGTTAGACTTGGTGATAGTCAAAGTTGAAGGTGCTGGAAAAAAATTTGAGTTTACCAAGTTCAGTGTATTTAAATTTGTATCCGAAATGGTAATATCGTAATTGGTTTAATATAATGTATATATTTTATTTTAAATAGTTATCTATTATTGTTTTTAAAATGTAAATAAAATTTTATAAATAATTGGCGCTGTATTTATTTCCAGAGATCAAAGCAAAAAAACACGTTTAAGAACTACTCGTCTTTACTGTGAAACATGTGAAATATTTGATTCACATGATACCGAAGATTGTCCTGAAAAACCAGAATCTCCAAAAATCCAAAGGAAACGAAGAGTAGTTAATGATGATTCAAATAAAATGATTGATGAACCATTTTGCGTATGTTGTGATAGTAAGTAATTTCTTATTTCTGTATAAGGCTATTATTGTACCTACTGTGAAATGTATTATTTTAGAAATTAATAGTTAATAATAATAGTAATTAAAAAAAAAAAAAAATTATTTTGTTTAGTGTTTGGACATACAGCTGACGAATGTGACAACTCATTAACCTTTTAGTTTGGTTTGGACCATGTTGCCGATTGCTTGGTATCAAATTAATTAATT